CTCGGACACGACACACAAATTCTGAAATGAAAAAATGTGGTATTTCAGATACGAAGGTTTAGAAACCATTTCAAACAAATTTAATCCATTCTGGAAAAGTGTATTAATAGCTTGGGGAAAGGTTGGTCAAAAACTCTACCACAGCCCCTTGTGAAATTTTAAGTCAACCACTATGGCTTAATAATGATATCAAAGTAGGAAAAAAATACGTATTTAAACGAAAATGGATAGCCAATGGTATTTTTTCATTAATGACTTAATCATGGAAAATGGCGATTTCATGAATTTCATCCAATTTAAAAATGCATACAATTTAAACATAAATTTCGTTGAATATAACGGACTATTATCAGCAATCCCTAAATATTGGAAGCAAACGATTAAACATCACCAAAAATTGAATGAAATTAAAAGTGAAAATATTTTGAAACTTCAAAAAAATATGAAAGTTACAAAACACTTTTATAAAATGTTTGTTGAAAAGATAACAGAGTCCCCCTCAATGGCTTTAAGGAAATGGGAGGAAAAACTTTCAATACATATTAATGAAAATAAATGGAAAGACTCTTTTTCTTTACCCTATTTAATAACAAAGGACACAAAGCTTCGATGCTTTCAGTTTAGGCTTTTACATCAAATAATTTTTACAAATAGCAAACTTATGAAATGCAAATTAGTCGAAACAGAACTTTGTTCTTTTTGCCATGATACTAAAGAAACACTTATTCATCTATTGTGCTTGTGTCCATATTCCGTTACTTCATGGTCTAATTTAAGAGATAAACTTCGAAATACATGTGGTTTAATTATTAAATTTACTGCTGAAGAAATCATATTTGGATATAAAAGTTCTAGTGAAACTGAATTCAGAACTTTGAACATAATCATTCTGGTTGCAAAGCAATATATAATGAATTGTAAATGGAAAAATATAACACCGTCTTTTTATGCTTATTTGGAAGTACTTAGATATTATAGAACTATAGAGCTTTTTTTCCTCCTTTTCTCTCTCTCATAAGAAAGCAGACATGATAAAACAAAGTTGGGATTTTTTGAAAACATTTCTCAGTCACTGAAGGTTTAAATGTTACGAAAAAAAAATGCTGTCTATTTTTCAAAATTGTTCAAATGGATCTCTTTTATCTATCATATAGAATATTTGTTTTTATGCCATTCTATTGTAGTTCTGTAATGTTTGTATAAAAATGCATGTTATGACGGAAATAAAAATATGAATGACAAAAAAAAAAAAAAAAAAAAATATCCCCTATATTAATAACGACTAATAAACTTTTGCAAAGCAACAACTAGGTCCCCCGTCCTTCTTCCAATGAGATAGGATGAAGACTTTTTTACCTATGCCAAATCAATGTGATTTCGGGTACATTTGTCATTAAGAAAGCTAATGTAGATTTATGCAAAAATGATTTTCCGTCTACTTCCATAATGACGGGAAATGACGTAAGTTGATAACAAACAATTGTTCAGTCGCGAATGTGTTTCGTCAGAATCCATGATAACCTCCCTTTTCATAAATAAATGTGTAGTAGAACTATCCTTCTGTATTCAATAATCCAGAAGTGCAAAAAAAGAATAAAATAGAAAACATGATGTGTACGTTCTAGTCCCTGCTGACAAAGCAGATAAAAACATTGTCTTTGTTTTTTGTAAGGCTCATTATATAAAAAGTATTTTAGAGGAACTTGGATTTATTTCTACAAGTGGTAATCCTACTTTTACTCATACCTTCCTTTCTAAGGAGGAAATTCTTCAAAATCATATGTCAGTTTTGAATATATCAATATTCCAAACAACTAAAATGAATTTGAATTACCATATCTATATTGGATTCCGAAACTTCATTAAAATCCTTACAAACAAAGATACATAGCGGGTGCCAGTAAATGTTCTACCAAGCCTCTTTCTTTACTCCTCACTAAGATATTAACAGTAGTGAAAGAGAAACTTCAAGAGTACTGTTCAACAATATATGAAAATCAGATGTGGATATTAAAAAATTCCAAGGAACTTTTGGAACATTTGAAATCGCAAAATTTTACCAAAATCAACAACATAAAATCTTACGATATTTCAACTTTATATACAACTATTCCCCCACGAAAAATTAAAATCCAGGCTTTCTGACATCATTAACAGCTGCTTTTTCAATAAAAATGAAACTCGTAAATTTACTTACCTTGTCATTGGTCATTTGCAAAATTATTTTGTTAAAAAACAATCTGATTGTATACACAAGTACTCTGAATTTGATATTTAAAGGATGCTCGAGTTTCTGATTGACAATATCTCTCTGGTTTTGGAGACCAGGTCTTCCAACAATCTACTGGAATTCCCATGGGTACCAATTGCGCCCTGTTATTAGCAGACCTATTTTTGTATCTATATGAAGAATTTGTTCAAAATATTTTACGTGAAAAGAAGAAAACACTTGCTGTGGCCTTCAACTCGACATTTAGGTATATCGATGAAGCACTGTCAATTAACAATAGTTCTATAACAATCATATACGGACTTTTCCCAAATTTTGACCGGGCTAGCAAAAAAGGTTCCCGGTCTTGTAAACTCAAATTCTTTTGAGAGTCGCGGGGTCCCTCCCAGATCCCTCCTCTATGAAAAGATGAAGGTCTGATATGGTATCCACGGTGTAATACAGTCTCTCGAACTATGTTTTCTTATAACAGTTATATATATGTTTTATCAGAATTTTGACCGGGTTGGCTAAATAGGTTAGCGGTCTTGTAAATTCAATTTCTTTTAACAGTTGATGGGTCCTCCCAGAACCCTTCCCTGTTAAAGGATGAAGGTCTAAATTTGGGATCAAGAGTGTAACCCAGCCCCTCGAACTATGTACATTTATAAAAGTCATATACGGGATTTTCCATATTTTGACCGGGCTAGCAAAATATGTTTCCGGTCTTGTAATTTTAATTCCTTCTAACTGGCGGGGGTCCCTCCCAGACCCTCCCCGTAAAAAGATAAAGGTCTAAATATGGGCTTACGGTAAGGTAACTTGCAATTTGCTTGGGTACCTAAAAATTAATTTCATGCAACAGAAAATTTCTTGATGTTATGGTTGAAAATAAAGTTCCCTTTACCTTTAGTGGATCAAATTGAATGTTGTATGTACCTTAATTTCCTTATTTGCCGGAATCCCAATGGTGGGAGGCAGAATGGCCAATCACCGTTATCTTTATATATTTTTATATATATAACCAATAAGAAACTTAATAAAGCAATTTGAGCTGCATTTTTTGAAATTTTTTTTTGTTGTTGTTAAAATGTGTTATCATGATAAATTTGTAAGAAACTGAAACCTTTTTTGATCAATTAGTCTAAAATAAAGCAGAGGAAAGACTCCTATACACAATCCGATATACAGCTTTATGTAAGATATCATTATTGTACAGGACGACAATAATGTAATTTTGATTCAGTTAAAGCTTATCAATAGTTCTTTCATCGCAAATATGAACAAAAGAAGTTCATTAATGTTATTTTTTGTCATTGAAATAGTTATTTACAATTTTGCATTAAAAAATTCCGACATCAAAGTTGCAGCCTATATTGCTTTAATATATATATATTTATCCCTCCTCCTTTCTTTACCTCAACATAACATAAACACCATATATGAAATTGTAATTTATTGATCAGATAAACCTTGATCTTGGATACTTTGAAACTGAACTAAATGTGAAAAAGGGAATAATGAGGTCAAGGTGATAGGGATGGTAAAAGTCAAGAAAAATATGCCACTGTTGAATACCCCTCATCAATATGTTTGTTTGTTTGTATGTAAGTTGTTTAACATCCCTCTCGAGAATTTTTCACTCATATGGAGACGCCACCACTTGCCGGTGGAGAGCTGCAAATTTTGTCCTATACTCGGCACTTACAGCCATTGAGCAGTGAGGGATTTTTTTTGTGCCAGCACCTACTGCGACAAGGGACCTCGGTTTATACTGTCTCATCCGAAGGACCGGTCTCCACATCCCACAGTGGGATTCGAACCACCGACGTAAGGATCAACTCCTTACTTCGCGACTCTAGAGCAGACGCTCTAACCACTGCGCCACTCATCAACATGTATTAGCATATGAAATTTTGGTTAACATATTTTGAACAGTTTCTTTGAAACTGTGATAAATGCAGTGTGACAGAAGGACAGACGGACTGCGGGACATTACAAAGTACAAACGCTACATGCCCTGGCCATATTCAAGGAGGGGCATAAAAAAAAAACATTGTATAATCATTTTTCAGTACCTTTTGAAACCTTCTACATTGATTTGAACTGCAAGCATCTCCAATTTGAACATTTGTAAAAACATTAACCATACAAGAATCATACTCTACTGCTTTTTAATATTTTTTTGTAATTAAAAAAAAACACACAAAAAAAAAAAACCAGGAAAAAAAACAAGGCCATTCATTAAACGTGTAAAAGGAGATCAAAGAAAAATTTACAACATAAATACCAGTACCATAATTTGAAGATTGTATGGTGAACATAGGTATATTATTTTACAGTTATAGAGAATAAAGCAAAACATCTTTCACATTTATAATCATAAAATTAAATCATGACTCTTTCAGGTACAGGGTCCTAAAGCCTTTTAATTGGGAATTTTAAATTGAAAAATAAGCAAAATGGGATATAATGTTTTTTAAATTATCTGTTGAATAAATAAAGTTAGATTGTATGCTTATTGTTGATTCACATCTTTACGAGTTATAATCATGATAATAGTAAATGACTGAAAAATTCAATCTGTCATTTGGGAATTTTTAATTAATTTTTTTGGAGAAAAAAAATGGGTCAATTTTCAACACTGCTTCAGTATTTCAAAGTACCAACAGAAGAAATAAAAATTTTAAAATTGGTTTTAGATTATAACAAGCAATTAATTAAAATATTGAAACAATACTTAACATACAGAAACTTTGATACTAGTTTTCAAAACACCTCTTACCAATCGTATCTAAAAGAGGAAACAATCAAGTAAGTATTTCGGCAAGCAGGGCTCAAGATCTTTCTTTTTAAAACAACCTTTAGTCCTTCTATTTCGATACTATGAAAATGAATGTACAGTCTCTCTGTCAATTCCTTCATTTTGGAACCATCAATTCTTATGGACCAGCTTCATTATACATCACACACATGATCTTCTACATTAAACCAAAACCGTTCTGGACCGTAGAATGTGCAAGCATACGGAATTTTACACTCATCCAAACGTTCCTCTGGATCATGCAGCTGAATGAAATCCCACAAGGCTTTTGGAGTGGAACTTCGGTAATCTAGATTCTTCTCCATGATAACTTCAGCTGCCAGACATTGGAGCGTTTGATTTGCTGCAGTATTAACTTTAACTCCACAATCAATCATATCATTAAGCCCTGACAAACCAATCTTATTTCTGATGTCCAAGTGAGCACCATGCTTTACCATCAAGTCCACTGTTTCCTGAATGAGATGTAGGTTATCACATTGTACAATTGCAGCCCGTTCATGTACAGGTGAGCAGAGGTAATTATCTGTGGCATTTACATCTTCTCCATTTTCTATCAGTATCTTTACTAGTTCTGCCTGGTTATCTTCATCCCATTGATAATCTTGAGTGGTCTCCATGCATTCTATGGCAATGTGGAGAAAAGTTACTTGTTTTTCATCCCTGAACTTTGTTATCAGAAGCTTAAAAAGAGAGGGCAGGAATTCCTCTCTATGACTGGGAAAAATGCCAAGAATCAAAGCACTGAGTTGTATCATAAGTTTCATGTACATATTTCTCTGTTTTCCATCTTTATAGTCATCATAAGAAGAACAAGTATCCAAATCACTCCCCTCATCTCCATCATGCGGACAGTTATATTCAAGTGCATGTACAATTATCTCCCTTAAATCTCTCTCTGTTTGTGAAATCTCTTCTGCTTCATCCTCAATTACCTTCTGGCAGCACAGCTGTTTCATTTCAAAACCGCAAGACATTTTCTTATAAAATTCCAACACTTTTGGGAAAATTTCATCTCCCTTCTCATCATGCCAGGCTAATATGACACAGATGGTCCTGAAGGCACTATCATACTCTGGAATTGCACTCACATTTTCATTGTTTGAAAAGGTGTGAAGGAAGGTGAATGCAAAAACTTCTAGAAAGAAACCATAACATCCCAGTGAAATAATCACATCAGTTAACCCTTCTAGACATGGTATGCAATTATGACCATACTTGACATGAAGCTTAGATAAAAGTGCAAACATGAAATAAATTGGTAGAACTGGATTTTCCTTCATTCTATGGATATCTTCAATGCAAGTTGGCTCATAGGAAGAAAAATCACCATGATAAGGTGCAGAATTGTTATTCTCATCTTCTACAAATTTCATCTTCTCCTGGAGTTCAACAGCTCTTGTCCAATACTTGAATCCTCTTTTTGAATTCCCTGTGCTAATCAAGAATGCTCCTCCATATTTCATTGCATCAATTTTATCATGCATGTTCACTTGAGGATGCTTCAGGAAATACCCTAGAGTTTTAGTGCATGATTGAAAGGTAAGAGCAGCATATATGACCACTGGTATGTTTGCAGTATTTACACTGTTCACATTTGCTCCTGCCTTAACCAAATAGTCTATGATATGTAGACGACTCTCGTTTAAATTGAAGCCCTGTCGGATAGTCCCATGAAGAATGTGTTCATCATAGCAGTTTTTGGCATTGACATCCACTCCGGCTTTTATGGCCATTTCACATATTTTTAAAGAGCCAGCCCAAGCACCAGCCATAAGACAATTCACATTTTTGTTATTAGTGTCTGTCAAACTGGCTCCTTTGTTAACTAGATACTCCACTAAATGTTCATTTCCAGAAACACAAGCAAAATGTATGGCTGCCATTCCTTGGTCATTTTGCAGATTAACATCAAAAGAATGGTTTTCAATGAAATATTTCACAATATTAGAATGCCTTCCACTTGCTGCAGTCCACACACAAACATTCTTAACTTTTTCGACATCAATGCCACATTTATCTGTAAGAAACTGCACAGCTCCTATCATTCCTTGTTTGCATGCTATCTCTAAAGCAATTTCTATTTCCTTCTGGTGGAAAGACTCAGTCAGGATCTTCTGTCTTTCTGCTTTGCTTTTCTTCTCTAGAGCTTCCTGCAAGGCATTCCAGCCATGCATTGATTTCATGGTTATCAAGAACTTTAATCTAAAATCACCAGATTTCACCTCAGCTGCCATGATGGTTGTTACCTGTGAACAAAAACATTAAAATTACTTCAGTATAATTCTGATACATGCACTGAATTCGAAAATCTCTATGGGATGATTGCTCCAAGAAGAGATGCCTTAGACTTCATACTCGACAAAATCACTCAGATAGACCTCAGGAAAGAGTGTCTGGACCAATCAGAGAGCATCAAAATTCTTGATCACTTAACAAATATTAACTTAAAGTAAGATGCATCTTA